GGACGCGCAGGCTCAGCGGCCATGGCTCACGGGCCCAGCCGCTCCGCGGCACGTGGGATCCTCCCGGACCGGGGCACGAACCCGTGTCCCCTGCATCGGCAGGCGGACTCCCAACCACTGCGCCACTAGCGAAGCCCTATTATTCTTTTTTGATTTTTCGCTATGTCTGACAACTTCACAAATAAGAGCTGCACGTAGATGCAACAATACTATGAGGTCTTTGGTTCATTTAAAGTGAGCCGCCTTCTGCTCTCACCTGTGGAAGAAGAGAGCTCGGCATCCGTGTGATTCTGTTTTTTGGTAATCAGAGTCCCAGAGGAAAGAAAATAATGCTTCCATAGCAAGGTCTATTTTCAAAATGTTAAAATCCAGTTGTATTAAGGAAACTTGAGGAGAAAAAGGACTGACACCTTAACTTGCTCACACAGCCAAGCTGATGTAGCCCAACCCTGCCCCTCTCATACCCACCAAAAAACAACAACAAACACTAAAAACCTCCCTTGGTCCCCAAATTGAAGAGAACAACTGCAGCTTTCTTGGCCAATATATTCCGTAGGCAATGTGTAGGCCTGTTTTGAGGTGAATCCTCACTCAGATTCATCTCTTTTTTATAATTACCTATTTCCCCATCTGTGAAATGGAAGGGTGATAAGGTCTCAGCCTATCCAACTCTGCCAATGCTAAACTGCAGGGACAATACACCACTTAGTGCCTAAGACGCAGGGACCTTTAAATGAGATTATGCGCAATAACAGCGTCACTGTTGCTGCTGCCCATCCCAGAATGCACCTGCCCCCAGCAACTCCTCATAGCAGGCACTGTTACTCCCATTTTACAGATGGCACATGGAAGCTGAGAAAAGCAGATCAATTCGCCCAAGCTAAGAACTGAACCCAGCAAAGGACCCACATCTTCTTTGGGGATCACTGTCCACCTGGTACCACCTCTGCACACTCTATACACCCAGTACACAACCGGGGCCCTGTTTCTGCACTTGCCACCAAGAGTCCACATAGTAGCCAGAATGCAGTGTGTCCTGTTAAAGTCCAAATCAGCTCATGAGCCTCTAATGGTTCATCTCAGAGAGAAAGCCAGTGTTTTGATAATAACCTACAAGGACCCACCATCACCTCATCTCCTGCCACTTTCTCCCTCACACCATCCACTCCAGCCATGCTGGCCTCCTCACTGTCCCTCTCATACACCAAGCATGCTCCAGCCTCAGGGCCTCTGCAGTAGCTCCTTCCTCTGCCTGGAACACTCTTCCCTAGACAGCCACACTGCTCACCCCCCAACTTCCTTTGGGCAAATATTAAAATGTCATTTTGTCAGAAGCCTCTTCCAACCACCCTCACTAAAAGCAGCAAATCCCCTTCCCAGGTCCTCTGCTTTAATCTCTCTCCACAGAGCTTCTCACCACCCGACGAGTAACACCTTCGTGCTATTACTCTCATCCCCACCAGATCAGGTCTTTGTTTAGTTCACTGGCTGTGTCCCTGCGCCTGGCTAGTTGCTGTTGCTCAATCTGCTACAGGAAGGAAAAGGGTCCTGTTGTGGCCCTGCCCAAACAGTTACAGCCTGTCTGCCTGAAGCCGCCACACATCGCAGAATCCATCTGAGCAGTCTCTGCTGGGGGCGAGCCTTCCTCCAGACATCAGATCATCAGCCAAGAAACACCCAGCAGGGGAGTGGGTGGAATAAAGCAGAGAGGAGAGGGGAGACAGAGGCTAAAGAAAAGCAAGGGGCTGGGGTGGGGAGGGGGGCTGCAGGAAAGGGACACCTGCCCTGGGAGCTGCATCGTCCCGCCAAGTGGACCTCCTGAGGAGATGAAGCCAAGAGACCCTTGGTTTTTCTCAGTCAGAAGCCAGGCTATAGACAACTTAAACCCAATCCCAAGGACAAGATGTCAACTATAAAAAAAGAATTCTTCAATCCACTTGAGGCTGCTCTGACAATGGCAGGCATGTGGCCTGCTGATGTGAGTAAAAGGGACATAAGCCTAGCTGTGTGTCAGGACAAGCTCAACTATAAAGATGATGAAGCTACCGGAGGCAAGGAGAGCCGTGAGAATCCACTTGATCCTCAAGGCACATGTCTGGCAGATTACCATCCACCTCCTTCCTCCCTCCTCAATGCCTGCCTGTCGTGCTACTAGGAGGTGCCTGGCTGGTGACAGTACAGTTTGCATTTTCCCTTCTGGCACTACGATGAGGTGGCACAGGCCTTTTCTGGGGTGGTGCCCATGCTGTGCTCTGCTAAGGCCACAGAAGGTACCAGAGGGAGCCCAGAGAGTAGCATCCAGGATACAACTGGCAGCCACCAGTAGCATTTAAAACATCCATGTGGTCAAAGTCAGTCTGTGATAATCACATCTCTGGTGATCGAGAGAAGATTTTGGCTTCCTTACTTCCAATGCTGATTCTTAGAAGCTGCCCCCAAATCAGCTGTAGCAGACACCTGGCCAGAGCGGACTGGATCTAGAGCATTCACCCGACCTGAACCTGGGTCAATGAGATTCTCCCTCCTAGGAACTGTAACCACTGGAGCCACACAGACAAGCAATCTGAGCTAGATCTGCAAAAGAAGACAGAAACAGGGCACGGGGGTGGGAGGAGGGTGGGTGGGCAGGCAGGAACGTCCACCATCTATGACTTGGGAGAAGCAGGAAAACAGAAAGTTGTAACAGGAGACTACTGAGGCAGGCAGGTAGAGAAAAACACAGATGAAAAGTAGGAGCATCATGAGAATTTCTCCGTTCTCAAGGTCCAGTGGGCCTCTTGCCTTTGAGGACCCCCAGATTTTTATGATACTCCCCACCATGTTCCCTCGAGATGGATTCTGTTCCCAGTGCCTTAAAAGCCATAACTGCTCTAGATGAAATCTCAAAGCGCCTACCCATTCCTCTCACGCCCCCACAGGTCTCAAATGGGTTCTTTCCGGGAGGCTGGTGGCAAAGACCCACAGGAACAAAGCCGCCTGCCCAAGAACAGCCTATTCTGTGAGTGTGAGAGGCAGAGCTGGCTTCTCACCAGGGCGTCTCTGTAGGGCTTATCAAAAATGAAATGAAAAAGAAAGCTTTTGTCCTAATGCATGCCAGGGTCCTGCTGCTGTTCTGGGAACGTGTGGGTGGGTGCCGCCCTCGAGGAAAACACAGACTTGGAGAAGAGGCAACGGGAGCCCTGATGGTGCTCTGGGTCCCACGACCATCTGTTCTCTTAGGAAAAGGCTCCAGACATGCTGTGTGGGGACACCTCACCAAGAGGCACAGTGAAATGTTGTTCTGCCTACATGTGGGTGTCCAGTCCTACCATCAGCACCAGAAGATGGGTGATCCAAGGACAAGAGGCACAGACTTGGGAGTGGGACAGGTGTAGCCAATTATCCTAATGTGTCTACCTACAAACTGGGGGAAGGGGTCAGAAGTCACCTCATCATCTCTCTGAGTCCCAGTCTCTGCCCCAGTTGGCTGTGGGAACTGAATGAACTGCCCACTCACCCAGCACTGTAAAAGGCAACTGTTACCCTTCTCATCGTGCAGATCAAAATCAACCAAACTGGCAGCTTCTCCTCCAGCGGACCTCCTAGGTGCTGACTGTGGTCTACAAAGACAGCCATTTAAAACATCAAAACCACCTTCCAGCTTCGTTTGCAGGCATGAGATCGTTCCCGTGAAGACAGGAACCTCCTCCCTCGGTAGCCTTTTTAAAAGTTCAAGTCCCTAAACTCCCTCCACCCCCGGCCCCCTTTTCTACACATGGAGAAGGGCCAGAGGAATAAAAAAGCCAGAGAAATAAAAGCGCACAGGAGGAGGGAATGTTAGTTGCTTTTTTTTTCCTTCCCAAAGAAAGTCATTTCCCTCAACAGGGGGCTCCCCCCCATGATCTGGAAGAGAAGGGTAGAGCTAATCCCTGAGCAGCGGGGTCAGAACTGCCTACAGAAGACTACCCAGGAGGAGGAGGAAAAGGGAGGGAAGGAGAAGAAACAGAGGAAGGAGGAGGAACAGAGGAAAGGGTGGGAAAGCGGAGAAAGGGGAAGGAGGAAAGGGAGGGAAGGCTGTTCATATGAACAACTGGGGCTACACCAATCACCAGCACACCCCTACAGCTAAGAAGTCTCCGCCTGTTCAGCCTCCTCCCTCCCTTCCCCCACCAAGTACAACCCAGGAGGACCTTGTAAGGGCATGGAGTAAAAGATGGTCTCAAGGCATATGACTGTCATGTTAGAATTGTGGCTGAGAGTCTAATACTTCCTTTGGCTTACAGTACTGTCTGTTTCCCTAACTGAGCCTCAGTTTCCTTATTTTTAGAATGGGGATAGGTCTCTACTCTTAGAAGGGTTGGGGGGCTAAAATTACACGTTCTGTCAGCCTGGGCCATCACTGCCACTGAGGCATGGATTTGCGAAGTGGCTCAAAAGTAAGAAGAGGAAAAAGACCGTGCAGATCTGGTTCTTCCAAGGCCGGGCTGGGCCAGAGCAATGACTTAGAAAGTGGGACGTCTCCCCACCCGCAGCGCAGGGCCGAGTTCCCCGGGGAAGAGGGTGAATTCCCACGGACTGAGAATTACTTCGCCCTTCTTATCTCCATCGAAGGGCGGGGAGGAAGCGGGGATACGGTGTCAACCGGGACACAGAAATGATATAAATCCTCTCTGATGGTCCTTGGCTAGTGCTCTGCCCATTCCTGAGCGTGTGACTTGGAAAAGTGTCTTCGCCTCCCCAAGCCTCAGTTTCCCCATCCGCGCTGTGGGCAGAACGGCAGCATTTGAGGCACAGAACCGCTTTCGAAGTGCAGGATAACGTCGGGCCCGCGGTCAGCGTTCGCACACACCGGCTCAGACCGTCCGGGGCTCCGCAGGCCCGACGCTGTTCCCTCGGGGGCGCTGCCACCGCCCAGGCCTCGGCCTCGGGCCACGCGGGCCCGCCGCCGCCACGCCCCGGGCCTTTGCCCCCAGGCCGCGCTGGCCGCCCCCCAACCCCACCCCGCGGGCCCGCCGACTCACCCGTGTAGTGCACCACGCAGGTCTGGCCGCGCTTCGGGAAGGTGCGCCCTGAGGAGACAGACGGGCTCGGTGAGCGGATGCGCGCGGCAGCCGGGGCACTCCGAGGCCGCTGGGCGCACCTACTCACCGTCTCCGGGGGAGATGGTCTCCACCTGCACTCCCATGGCGGCGGCGGCGGCGGCGGCAGACGCGGGGCGGGCGGGCGGGCGGCGCGACGGCCGGCGCGACAGGCGGCGTGGACAGAGAGCGAATCTGGCGGCGGTTCCGCGGCTGTGCCTCGTTCCTCCGCGGAACGGCTGCGCACGCGCGCGCCCCCGCAGCCCCGCCCTGCGTGCGCGCCCCACACGGCGCGCACGTCCCCGGAGCCCGGGCCGCGGGGCCGGGCGGCCGGAAGCCCGGAAGCCCCGAGGCCTCCGGATGCAGTCGTTCCGGGGGGCTGGGCTTCTTCCCTCACCTTTCCTTTCTCCGTTTTTCCAGCCGGGCAGGCATCTCTAACCCAGTTTCCGCATCCGAGAAATGGAAGTCAGACCTGGGGGACGGCCAGTTACCAGTTACTGACCGGGGGACTGATGAGTCCACACTTACCCCGTGAAAAGGATGGTTGTGAGAGGTCCGAGCAAATGTGCGTTCGCGTTAGCATTCAATCAGTGGGTCACGATTCTGAGTTCTGTTTTTCTGCTTTGGAGGAGGCGTCAGCATTTACACTGCCCTGCATGAAGCCTGTCCTCTCTTGTCCGAATTCATTCATTCATTCATCCATTCACAGCTTGCATACATATATTCTTATTGAGCACCTACTCTGTGCCATGCACTGTGTTAGGTGCTGGGGAAACGTGGGTAAAGGAAACTCCGTACCTGACCTTACGGAACTTACGGACTCGCGAGGAACAATCAACCACGCAGGTAAATGTAAAGTTTCAAATCTGTAAGTACTGTGAGAGCG